GGGGCGTGTGTCACCGGGCACCCCGAGCTGGGGGGCACAGAGACCCCCGGGCCAGGACCGGGGCCGGGGCCGGGCTCAGGCGGGACCCGGGGGCCGGTGGGGGCGCAGGCCGCAGCGTGCCCGTTGCTAGGAGACGGGCGGCGCCGGAAGGGGCGGGGCGGAGGGTGCTGTCCCCCCCTCCAGTGCCGGCACCGCCAGAACTTTCTGCGCATGCGCGCCGCGGGTCCGCCACCTCCCCACAAGCCTTTGCGCTCCCGCGGCAAAGATGGCGGCGCTGAGGGGAGGAGGCGCGCCATGGCGGCGGGGTGAGGGGCTCCTCACCGGGGTTGGGTGCCTCTGCGGGGCTCGGGGAGGGGCGGGCGGCGATGCCGGGAGGTGGCCTAGCGGGGGAGGGCGTGCATGCGATTCGGCCTGTCCTTACCCGCTCCTCCGGGGACTCCGGGGCCCTGGCGCCGGCGCTGAGCACTGCCTTTGTGCCCCCCTCTCCGCAGGCTGGCTGCCCGCCTTGCAGCTCGTCCGCCACGGCTCCAAGGCGGTCACCCGGCACTGGAAGGCCATGCACTTCCAGCGCCAGAAGCTGATGGCCGTGACCGAATACCTGGCTCCGCGACCGGCCATCCCACCGCGCTGCCTGGCCCCCAGAAAAGAGAAAGTCGAGGAGGTAATTTTCTGGCGTGTGGCCGTTGTGAGTGTGCGGCTGTGGGGCCTCAGTGTCCGAGGAAACCGAGTGGCTTTGCACGCCTCGTGGGTGTGTTTTCCTCTGCGGATTTAATGGGGGGTCCGCGGCTCCAGATCTCCAGGACAGCCCTGCCCCGCCCTTAGCCTGGCCGAGAGCTTTCAGGGGTGTTTGCTGTCCCTTTTCTTCATGTTGTGGGTGGCTGGGAGATGCCCCAGCTGGTAATCCAAGTGCTGGAAACCAGGTGAGTTCCCCATCCGTGGCAGCATCGCACGGCATAGGTCCATTTGCAGGGTCAGAGTTGGGGGAGGTGGCAGCCCCTGCCCCTGCGGCCCATCACTGCTCCCTCCCTTCCTCAGGACAACGGTTACGCCCGGCTGTTACGGCGGCAGGTGGAGGAGGTGTTCCGGGACAATCGGATGATTGCCGTGTGTCAGTACAACTCCATGCCTGGTGAGGACATGGTGCTGATGAAACACTACCTCCGCAAACACAACATTGAGGTCAAATTCGTCCTGAACGAGGTAGGGACAGAGCTGCTGGGGCAGATCCCGCTGTGGCTGGGGTGGGGGAAGGCACATGAGTGCTGGGAACGACCACGTGGTGCCTGTTGGGGTGGAAAGCTGCATTTTAAGAGCTGTCTCCCCCAGATTATCAGACCCATGCTGTCACAGTCCAAGTACAAGAATCTCCTCCCTCTCTTTGTGGCGCGCAATATCCTGCTGGTGAGCCCGGAAACGAAGGTGAAGGAGATGCTGCGGGTGCTGAAAGGAGTGCCGCAGATCAACCTTCTGGGTGAGAACTTCTCCTGCATCCCCGTTAGCTGGTGTCGAGCTCGGGGCTCTCATCCGGCGTTGGGGAGAGGTACTTCCTCTGGCATGGTCCACGCTAACGGAGCTGCGTCTGCTGGATCGCTGTTGTGTCCGTTAAAATGAAGGGATGGATGGCGAGGGGTGGAAGTCCTGCCTGCAGAAGCAAGCCTTTCCTCATGTGCCTGTGGAAGATGAAAGGGCTCTGGTTCTGGCACCCCACCTCCCGTCCTCAGCTCCGCTCCTTTCTTCCAGGCGCCTGCATCGACAGCACCATCCTGAGCAGGCAGGGAGTGGAGAACTTCGCCAAGCTGCCCTCGCTGGAGGCCTCCCAGGGGCAGATGGTGGGTGCCCTGGCCCTCCTGCCCTCCCAGACGTCCTCCCTGCTCCAGGGCGGCTCCGCACACCTCACGGCTCTCCTGGATGAGCACATCCGCCGGCTGCAGGCTGGGGAGATGGGAAGCCCGGATGAGTCCGCTCCTGCCCAGAGCTTGGGGGCTCACTGACACTGGCCCCCCCTGGGCCCTGTGTGTTGGCCAGGAGTCTGCTCCTTCACCGGCTGCGGTCGGGCAGGGGGGGTGGGTCAGGGATCGAAGGTTTGGCCCCGGGTGGGCAGCCAGCGGTGGGACTGAGGGTCCTGCCGCATCACCAGCCTCTTCGGGGAGCCCTGGCCCTTCCCTTTGCTCCCCGCACCCATGGCACCTGAGAATGTCCCGGCTGCATTTTGGATGCTGTGGAGCCGCAGTCGGAGGCTCGCTGGGATCAGCTGGAGGAGGCAGAGCGTGGCGGGGAGGATGTCGGGTGCTCCAAGCCGCCGCGCCCTCTGGAACGGGGTCAGCGATGGGGAGTCTGGCAGCGCTGACCGAGCTGTGTCTGCGAGATCGCTGTCCTGTCCATTAAAGCGTGGTGGTGGAGATGCCGGAGGCCTCGTCTTGGATTTGGGGGGGGCGAGTGGGGGGTTCCTACCCCTTGATGCTGTGGGGAGAGGTGGGGAGCTGCTCTGGGGCTCTCCTGGAGCAGAGGGCAGAGTGGTGCTGGGGAGGGGGTGTGGATGAGGGAAATCCCAGGGTGAGGGGGGGCCCAGGGACCCCCGTGGGGTCGTGCCTTTCCCGGGGGTACCCCTGCCCCGGGTGGGCAGATCCGGTGAGCTGGGGCTGGCCAGGGGGGAGCAGGCACAGCCTGGGGGAGAAACCCCCCTGCTCCCTGCGGGAGAGGAGCCATCCCGCCACCGGGATACCGGGGCAGGGGCTCCGGTTCTGTCCGTGTTCGGGACGCGGGGGGGAATCCCGGTACCCCAGCGGGCCACCGGTGCTAGAAGTCTCCGGTCCTCCACGGTGCAGGGGGCAGAGCCGAGCGGCTCCGGCCCGCCGCCTCCGCCTCCTTCCGTGTTCCGGTTCCTGCAGCCGCCGGGCAGGATGCGACCGGCCCCGGCTGCCCGCCAGCCGCCCGCCCAGGTGAGCACCGGGGTCTGGGTGCTGGAGGTGGGGGGGGGGCCCTCCAGCCCCGCGCCCCCCCC